AGAGTTCCTTGACTTAAGTCATTATTTTCCTTTTGAAGTTGATAAAGCTTTGCACCATTGGTTTGATCATACCTATCCTCTAATTCCTTCCATAATTCTTTTGTATCATTCACATATTGTAAACTATCTGCTAGATCCTTCGAAAGAGAATTTAGGATCTATGAAGTCACCATATCACTACATCTTTCCCATTGATCAAAAGTTGCATGTCCAGTTGCTAGTTTTTGACATTTTCGTGTGATGAAACCAACCTTATTATTCACTGAGAGAGCTCTAAGTACACCTCTCCTCAATGATCTATATCCTGTGCCATCAAAAGCTACAGGCACCAACACTGACCCAACACTCTCCGATGGATGCAGGTATAGTAGACTCGAGGTGTCTAAAGCATCCTTGTCTGCAGTGCTTTTCTTATCTCCAGTCATCGCTCAAATCGTAAATCATAGGACAGATGATTGAACCGTGAATCAAAGACAAAAGTAGAGTAACAGAGGCAACACAGAAAAGCCACACAATTCCGAGAAAATTACAAACTGAATTGCTATCAATCATCATTATTAGACGAATCTACAATAGAGTACAACTTTGAGCAAAACCTCAAAAAATTGAATTACGATCTTGAAGAAAACCTAAATCTTCATCTAAAATCGAAGAGAAAATGAAGTAAACAATCATGAGTTACCTTTATAGATGAAGCCTATGCTCTGATAGCATGTCAAATATGACAATTAGTGGAAGGATTTAAGTAGAAGCTCATCTCCCATGGCTGAAATCCATGGAGCTCAGAGACAGTGAAGAAGCTTCGAGAAGAGAAGATTTGGAACTGAGAAGGTTATCTTTATTCATTGAAAAGAAAAGAATGATAGTGCGCCTACACATACAAGTCATTGTACAACTGTCATTTGCTAAACTACCGCCTAACTAACACTAACAACTAACACGAACTAACAACTTAACCGACCAATTGCAGTAATGGCCATTCCTGACAAATGTGGCTAAAAATTAAATACAATACAATTCTAATATCAACATTTTCCCCTAACTCGGTATTGATTTTGAGAGATGTTAGTTCTTTCAATACAATTTTTTTCCATATGATTTAAGGTTTGTCACCTGAAATCATATAACAAGAAAGAGGACAATCAAGCAAATACTTCTTATGCATGGTTATTGGATACTTCTAATTTGTATTTCATATGACTAATTATCTCAAAGAAATTAATAAAAATACAAGATAAGCATGCCACATCTGAGACAATCAGACAATTATTTCATTAAACAAAACACTTTGCACGATTGTTCTTGTGCGTGTAATTTAGTTTTCGTTAAATTATACACAGGGGGAAGGGGATTGCAAGGTGGGAATCGAGCCCTCTCGCCAACAAGGTGGAAGTTCAAGTAGCTAACAAACTGGAGTACTATGATTACCTGCAAGTAATGCAATTTATTTATGGCTTTAGGCTGAGTTTTCCAAGTGCACTCACCACATAAAGTCTCAAAGTCTATTTCTATCCAATATCGGGAGAATAGATGTAGAAACAACTACAACATCAAATGTTATTCTGAGTTAAAACCTAATAAATAAAGGCTTTAGGGTCTGCAATTTGTTTTGAATGTCTATGCATTGACCGAATGCCGGCATATGTTTGGTAGTTCTTTCCCTGCCAAGATCTTAGTAGGGTTGAATATGAAATTGTTTTTCGAGTTTAAAAGAGTGCTGCAGGAGCAAGACCTTAAACAAAATTTAAAAACAGTTGTTCTGGTCACTTTTGGAAGCTGTCAAAAAACTAAGCTTGATTCAATAGAATAATGGTTTATTCTCTTTTTCTTCGTCAAGTTAGGAAATACGAGAAGAAGCATTAGATGTGGTTTATATTAGAGGGAATACCCTACTGTTTTGGGCTGAGGGAGCTTGCACTGGTCACCGAATTAAGTTGTGAGGCTTTCCCAAAGAATAAAAATATCCATAAGAATGGTGAGAAGTTCTGGGATCAACTACGAGGTAAAAATTGAGGGTGACCCTGAGGAGATTGATGCAATTGATGGACATGCAACAATTGACCGAGGAGAAGTTTGAGGCGTTATTGGTGTGGTTTGTTCACACCATCTTGTTGGCATGTGATAACTTTAAAAGAAGCGGATCACCATGGCCGATAATTTGAAATTTTTTTAGAAATATCCATGGAAAAGGTATGCTTTGATTTGATCCTTGATTCTCTCAAGAACCTGGTTGATACAAGGAAGCTCTATAAATCACCATAATATGCTATTTATGTTATTAATTATTTAACCACCACAATCTTACCCATGTTACCACAGTATGCTATAAACCACGATAGTATGCTATAAACCACCCTCCATAAAGCACCACAATATGCTCTAAAATTTTATTACTAGAGATTAGTGAAATTAAAATAAATGTAGATGCAACATTATAGATAGTGATATCTTTAACTGAATATATACATAACATAAACCACTTTATTATCTATAATAAAGTGCATATTTTTAATAAATACGTACAATGAATGTACATCGGTAATCATAAAGAGCATATTGTGGTGATTTATTATAATTAAAATATGCTTTATAGAGCTTCCTCATATCTACCATGTTCTTGAGATAATTAAGTGTCAGATTGAAGTATTCCTTACCCCATGGCATTTGGAAAAGAATTCCAAATTATCAGCCATGGTGACCTAATTCTTCTCAACTCCTTTTCGGTTATCGCGCTCTAATAAGATGGTCCGGACAAATCACATCAATAACACCTAAATCTTTTCTTCCTTGGTCAATTGTTGTCCGTTCATCAATTGCATCAACCTCCTCGGTGTCACCCTTTGGTTTTCGCAACCTACGCCTGTATGGCTGTATATCTGTTGAAATGTAAAATGATTCAAATTATTGCTTTCCAAGGAATGAAAGAAGATAAACTTCAAGAACTTCCTTCAAATTGTTGTTTTCCGTGTCTATGGTGGCAAATTTCGACCCAACTCACGCAATTTTGAATTTTGAAGAGGAATAACTCCTCTGATGAGAGAGGGAGAAGCAAGAGAGAAGAGAGAAAGTCATTTAGATGTTTGGATCCCAAAATTGGACCTTTATTGGTTAGAGTTTAAGTCAGCCTCACCAGTTTTAAGAATTCTAAACAAGTTTTAAGAGTTTAAGCGTTACTTAAACTTATTCTTAGTATTTTCCACAGTCAAAAATAAATGGAAAAGAAATTAGGATCTATTCCCTTATATGGAACCGCTAGGGGTCATTTTAACTATTTCTTTTGAGATACTAAATATAGCATCGCTAATAGTCTATTTGGCCAAGCTGGAACAGGGTTCTAAAAAGCGAGTACGCTTCCTCGCTTAAAGCGAGAAGCGAAGAAAGACGAGGTATCTGGCTCTTCTGTTAGCTAAAGCATAGCAGCTTTACAAAAGCGCTCGCTTCACCTGAAAAAGCGAGAATCGATGAAGCAATGTGAAACGTAAGAAGCGAGCGCTTCTCTTTATAACTGGGTTGCTAACGTATTTAATTAAAAAAATTATCTTTTTTTAAAACACCATTGAGCAGAAGCAATAGAAAAAGAAAGAGGCGGCCTAGGGTTCAAGTTTTCTACACTTTTCAACTTCAAGATCATCAAGTTTGGTCCTAGGTATGTGATTTATTCCTTCTCCTTCTCCCCCTCCTCCTCCTCCTCCTCCTCCTCCTCCTCCTTCTTTTTCTTTTTCTTTCACTGTTCCAGTATCCAAATAGCAGCGAAATACTGGTGAAATATTTTCCCATTCAGTTCTTCATTCTCATTCTCATGCAAAATTGTTTTCCTATTCAGTTCTTCTTTCTCATTCTCATCATCATCATCATCATCTTCTTCTTCTTCTTCTTCTTCTTCTTCATTTTCTTGCACTGTTTCAGTGATAAAAAGATTGAAATATTGCCCCTTTTTTCGTTTTAATTATACTGCCCTTCTTCGTATACTTACTGCATTTTTTTCATATCCTTTATCCTTTGGCCCTAGTTGATGATGAAGAAGAAGTTGAATAAGATAACAAGCAATATAATAATGATAGTGGAATACAAGAATTTGACAATTTTGTAGAAGAATAGGATGCTCATTTTGTGCTTTAATTGATGCTACTCATTCGCTTCTCGCTTTATGCGAAAAAGGGCTTTTCGCTTTTCCTCACTTCATGCTCATCATAACACTGAGCTAGAAAAATTAGCTTATTTTGAGAAGTACGTTTTTTCAAAAGTACTTTTTGTTTGGCTAATTTACTTGAAAAGTACTTCTAAACAATAATTAGTGTTTAGCCAAACTTTTAAAAGTACTTAAAAGTGTATTTTTCTCAAAATGTGTTTTTCAAAAAAGTAGCTTTTTACAAGTATTTCCGGGAAGAAGCTACTGTTTTTTTGCTTCTCTAAAGCAGCTTCTGCTTCTCTTCAAAAACATATTTTTTCTCCCAAACAGTTCAACATTGGAAGAAAACTTGAACAATCTTGTCCAAACAGGCTATAAAACTAGAATCACTATGAAGATTTTGTACCACACTTTTCAAGAGCTAGCGAGTACAAAGCTGCTTAGCACACGAGGCATGACAGGGTATTTGGTTTACTTAGACAACAACAAAAAGGAGTATAATCACAAAAATTAAGCTCTTTTTAATTAAAAGATTCTTCATTTTTTTTCAAGAGCAAACGAGTCAAGCAGCAATATATAGCTCAGTAACAGAGTATTCGAGTAAGAAAATGGTAGAAAAGAGTACCAAAAAATGCAGCGTTTTACTAAACATATAGATGATGAAACTCGAGTAGAATAACATAACAACAAAGTAAAAAAACTTCAAGAGGTCTAAACGCACAGTACCTGGTGCTTAGTAAGGCGTTTACGAATGACTCTGATCTTCTTGGGACGGAGATCAAGAGGTAAGTACTTGTTATTCTTGTATGTTAGATCAACAAGATCGAATAACGGAAGCAAAATGTGAAGAAGAAAACCCTAACTCGAAATAGAGAAGAAGAGAGAGCATTTTATTAACTGAGAGAAATAAATGTATCAAGATATCTATTAGTTACACATTTAATCCTTCTGAGGTTTTATATACAATAGGTAAAGAATTGCAAGGCTAGAACAAAAATCAGCTAAGGGTAAACATATGGTGACTATATATGTAAAACTAATTATAGACTACTACAAAGATGTATTGGGCCATGTCAGCTACTTGGGCCTGCTTGTGTGGGCTCCTGTGTTTGAAGAGGTCCAGTGTTAACACCCCTCTCAAGCTGGAGGGTGATAACATTCCAAGCTTACCCAAACGAGAGTGATGGGAAGCACCAAGCAAAGCTTTGATAAAAATGTCAGCCAATTGATCTGCACTTATGATAAAATGAAGGGAAATCAGGTCTGAATTTTAGCAATCTCTAACATAATGACAATCGATATCAATATGTTAAGTGCGTTCGTGGAAGACTGGATTCTTCGCAATATGTAAGACAGCTTGACTATCACAGTAGACAGGGATAGAAGTAATAGCACCTAAATCACCAAGCAACCTTATTAGCCATGAAATTTCAACAACTACCTTCCTCAAAGCTCTGTACTCAACTTCAGCAGAGGAGAGGGAAATAGTAGGTTACTTCTTGCTCTTCCAAGAGATGGGACAACCTCCAAAAGAAATGTAGTACCCAGAGATGGACTTTCAAGAAGTAGCACGTGCTACCCAATCAGAGTTTGAGTATGCAACAAGGGAAGTGTATGCGGTAAAATCAGAGGGCCTAATTTCTTGCTATCAAATCACTTCAGAAGAATGTCTCAAGACCCCGAGCACGTGGAGTTGCAACCGAACTCCCTCCCTCGAGGCTCGTCGAGGTCTGACTCAAAGAAGACAAAGATCGAGGCTAGAGCAAAATGGGAAATTTCCAAGGCACATGGCTAAGTCTGACAGAGCCAGCATACCCAGAGCCTGTGTCGAGGCGTCATGTCTAGCCGTCCCATCTCCATGCTTTTACAATTAATGTACGTTATGTCACACCTCCTTTTTACCTACACCCCCGGAAGGGAGGGTATAAGGGAGTTTTTTTCCAACTTAAAGTGACAATCGAAACGGGATTATTTTTATTAAAAATTCAGAGTCGCCACTTGGGATAGTTTAAGGTGTCCCAAGTCACCGGTTTAAAATCCCGAGTCGAGTAAAGGTTGACTCTGTAATACAGTCCGCGAACACAGAAATCCGGGTAAGGAATTCTGTTAACCCGGGAGAAGGTGTTAGGCATTCCCAAGTTCCGTGGTTCTAGCAGGGTCGCTCAACTGTTATATTCAACTTAATTATCTGATTTTAAACAATTATGAACCTATGTGCAAATTTTAATTTTAAATCGCTTTTAATTATTTTAAGGAAGATTTCAACGTCATCTAAAACACATTTTTGGACCACGCCACATGAAATGCATCCGCAGTCCGAGACACATTTTATTTAACGTTGCAAAGATTTGGATTTGGGTCACATGAAATGCACACCCGAGTTTAGGAAAGTAATTTAATTACGCGCCCAAAGCAACTACGCGTTCATCAATATTTTTCTACATTCAGGATTCAGTGTGAAGCCAACAGATTAGGGAGGTGTATTGGGAAGGCGTAGGATTCGATACTAAAGGTTATTAAACTCATTTAAAGTAGACTAGCTATAGCTAGACCCAACTAAGCTTAGTAGAATTCATTCTGTTATCATCCCAAACGAAAGACAACAAATTTCCTTATCGAAACAATTTCACCAAGAAATAATCCCAAGTCCAATTATCATTGTTTTAAAGTGAAAGCATATGACCCATTAATACTAAAGAATAAAATAACGTTATCATGAAAAAGGCTATGTACAAATAGAAAAATGCAAATAGAGTGACACTGAATAAGAGGAACAACAATAAGAACCATCAGCCAATAATACGCAGGTGTTAAAAGAACAACAAGATAAAACACTGAGATATGGAAATCTCTAAGTCAAAAACAGAATATGGAGAAATCAGACCTTTAAATAGCTTGCTCGATAGTAACGCTTTCCAAAACAACTTACAGTTAATCGAGGGACAAGAAACCCGGCAATGGAAACTCGGAAATACAACAAACAACAACAAATGTTAAACAAGAACCACGAGCTGTACTCGAACGACGACTCAGACTTCGAAACCAGTATCACCTCGAATCTATGCCGGAAGACTCGAAAACGGACAGAACGTTGGGGCGATTTTGGAACGGTTTCAGCTGAGTTTCAGTTCCAGTTTTGGTGCTGGATTGGGTTGGTTTCTGAGATTGTTTTTCCTGGCTGTGTTTTCCAGCAGAGCTTTTGGAGCTTTTGGCGTTATTTTTTGGAAGGAGATGAGTAGAGTTTTCGTGTATTTCTGAGTAGGGGTCGCTGGTTGGTGTTGTCACTCACCGGTGATCAATTCCGGCGAAGCAACATCTCGAGCGAAGGAGATGACAGAAGGGTCGAGGTCAGCAGCTGCGGCTTCTAGCTCTCTAGGGTTTGTGTTCTCTCAAGGTTGAAGAAGAGATAGAGGGATTTGGAGATGGGTCATGGCTTAAGGTTCTGTCATTTTTGTTCTTAGTGGCTCGTTTTTTGGTTAGGAAGCTGATGAAGAATCAGAACGGATAGAGGGTCTGATTTGGTGTAGAGATGAGGCTGTTGATGGGTGCGTTGAGAGGTGAGCTCTGTTGGTGTTTGGGGGGGGGGGTGTCGTGTCTATTGCGGCTGTAGCTCTCCCCTTAGGCGTTGTTTTTTTGTTCTTCAGCTCATTGCAGGCGTTCCTCTAGGTATAGAGTGTAGGGTGTAGCTATATAGGAAAGGTTTTAGGTTTAGGGGTATGCGTTTTGTGTTATTGGGCTTTAAAATTGGGCTAAAAACTAGATAAAAAACTGCAAAGTTCATAAAGACAAGATAAACCAATCCGACACTAATTCCTCCTTCTAAACTTATATATAATTATAATATAAAAATATAAAACTAATTTTATGATTAAACTAAACTATATTAAGACATGAAACTATTTTTGGTGTTTTCAAAATTATATAGAAATAAAAACAAGGTACTATTTTTGTATATTTTTATTTAAATTTATGAAAGATATATAAACTAAAAGATACTAAAAAAAGGAGAATTATTTTTGTAAATTTCATTTTTCTTGTGATAAAATAAGGTAAGAGAGTCAAAACGAGTTGAAATAGCTATATTAGGCCTAAATTAAATATTTACACGCTAAAATATATAAAATCTTGGGGAGGGTCAAAAATCACATGTCTACATGTTGTACTATAACAAGNATAGCACCAGCAGAGTCTGATATCATGTCTAGCCGTCCCATCCCCATATCTTTACAATTAATGCATTTTGTACTATGTTGTATTTCCCCTCTTATATAAAGGGGATCCTTGCCAGTTTGTAAAGGACTGTTGTTGCTCCAACTATTCTACACAAGATCAATAACAATTCTCTCTCTCTCTCTCTCTTTTCTCTCTAACTTATTCACTTGAGGCGACTCTTTCCATTTATAAATTTAAAACTTGTTGTTCATTTATTGCTTGATATTGGCCAAAAAGAGCCTTCTTTAATCATATCTTAGTTGTTATTCCCTTCCCGGCTACCCCCGATAGCTCGAGCTCGAGCCCAGGCATCGACCTCGAGGCCTTTCATCGATCAATCCGAAGCCCGGATATCAAGCCCCTCGATATGATTATTGCCCCGTTTTAGCTTGAACTCCGTCGTTAAACTTCACATATCTAGCATCCACTGCTCTAACAACTAGCATAAAAATGGATCACGTATTTTTAGTGTTCCATTTGTAAATTTAATTGTTATTACAATTTTCATGGTAAATAGTTTGGTGCCCACCGTGGGGCTAAAAATAATAGTGATTATTTTCTTGCTGGTTTCATTACACAACGCAAGTTATCTTTCACGCCTTTTCTTGTCCAAGATTTTTGATTTCAGGACAAAATGTCCAGCTCAGTAAACAAAGTCAAGAACGACGACCTCAAAAACCATGGGGAAAACGGTGTGGCTGTTCCAGTCGTCGGTGCGCCACCGAAAAATCTTGATAATGCGCCCAGACCAATTTCACCGGACGTGGATTCACAGGACGTACAACATGTCGATGAAACCTCACACACCGATAGGAGCATGCAGTATGACGACCAACAGGAAGCCCAAAAAATCCCAGCTCGGGAAAAATAGGAAGTTAGTCTTCATATTATTTTTGAAATGTTGCAGGCACAACAGTTGGCTATCGCTCAGTTGCAAAACCACCCGAAGACTCCCAGCATAGTAGCACCGGAAACAGCTCCACCAGCCGAACAGGTACCCGGGAGATCGAGCAATAATGGATCGATAACTGACCCTACCATAGTAAAAATGCTTGAGAATCTCACCAAAAGGATCGAATCGGGCAGGAAATTGATAGTAGCCAACGACAAGAAGGTCGAGACCTATAACTCCAGAGTCGACCAGATCTCGGGTGCACCCCTGGTCCTCAAAGGCGTGGATTCGAAGAACTTTATACAAAGGCCATTGCCCAAGGAAGTGGCCCCGAAACCCATTCCAAAGAAGTCTGGAATGACAGAACTCCCAAAGTACAACGGGACCTCAAATCCTAACGAACAAATCACTGCCTATACGTGCGCGGTGAAAGGCAATGACATAAAAGATGATGAGATCGAGTCCCTCTTATTGAAGAGGTTCGTAGAAACGCTCTCGAAGGGGGCCATGATGTTTCATCATAGCCTAGCTCCCAACCCCATAAACTCACTTACCATACTAGAGGATTCCTACATAAAGGCACACGCCAGTGCCATCGAAGCAACAACGAGAAAACCCGATGCATCTGAGATTAAGCAAAGGAAGAATGAAATGCTGCGAGAATTTGCATCTCGTTCCCAGATGGAACGAACAGAACTATCCCTAGTCTTAGACGACTGCACGGTGCAGGCCTTCACTCAAAGCCTAAACGAGTAAAGCCTGGTGATTTCAAGGCAGTTGAAATAGAACTTGATCGGGTATCCAGCCAAGACCTGGCCAGACACCCACATCCGTCACCAGTTACAAATCAGGGTCGTGGATGACCAATCGGGATCCCCCTCAGGCTCAGTATACCCAAGCAGGCTCCTGACAAAGAAAATGATGCCAAACAAAGAAAGATACCGCACATACGCCACTGATAGGAGGAATGCCCCAAGATGCAACCTACCTCACAATGATCGGAGAATGGATCGAGGACAATATCCTCGAGGAATCGTTAATAGAGCCAGATTTGATGGGGACACGAGGCCAGCAAGGGCGCCTCGCCCATCAGGATACAATTTCAACATTGCTGTATCAAATATCATGTTCACCGTCAGCAAAACCAGGGACGCCAAATGGCCCAGGCCTATTCAGTCGAATCCCTCTCTAAGGAATCACATCTTGGTGTGTGAACTATATAATACACACGGCCACGGGGCCAAATATGGCCATCAGCTCCGAAGGAAAATAGCCAAGCTACTTAATAAAAATCACCGCCGAGAACTGTCGAGCGATCGGGCTCGAGTTCAGTTCCAAGTAAGGATGGCGGCCAAGAAGAACGAAACAAATGGGCAGCGACATATTGCCATGATAGTGGAGGAGCGACGACACTCTCCAAGAACTCATAAAGAGGAGGGTAAAAATGCCCGTCACCAGAGAAAAGCGGATCCGAGGATATATTCTCGAGGACGCCCTTACATTCAGCAAAGAGGACACCGAGACCTTGTATCAACCTCACACTAACGCACTGGTAACCTTCTTACTCATTCGAACCATTTCAAATAGAATATATGCTCATGAATTCAGGTGGCTCGCTCAATATTGTCGGGCCGAGGCCGGACCAAATCAAGCCCGCCTCTCGAATCTTTGGCAGATTCTACATGGCGATTGAGACGACGAGAAAAAAGACCATTCTCTCAGTCAGCATGGCTGGCGCAGACCAGAACGCCAAGTTTCATATTATCAAATGAGGCGCAAGGCATGAACGCCTTATTCAGACGTCCGCGGACGCACTGCATGAAGGCAGTAGCATCCCCTCTTTGCCAAAGGATGAAATCCCCCGCAAGGGACGGAATTAAAACCGTTAGCAGGGAGCAACACGCGGCAAGGGGAGTGTTTGCATCACATAACGTAGCGCCGGCACCAATATCTCCACTCTCGAAAGAGTCAAAGGGTAATTAAACCATGTTTTCAGCCAAGCCCGATTAAAGACAGCGAAGGGCTGTACAGAGTCCTCGATCCAAAACAACAGCAACATATCGGGCCTCGAGACATTGCCTATGTACCCGCGATAAGGTAAGATCTCCTCCATCCTTCGTTATTTTACACTAATCCGTATGCAGACACCCGGCCAGGGCGTTCGGAAGTGTTAACCATACCCGAAGATCCCAAGGCCTTAATGGCACCCGTCGCACTCTTCCCCCTCAGCCGAACTTTAATCCCGAAGAGGGTCTCGCCGGCAAGGTTCTTAGCGGCGCGATTTTCCGCCTAAGGAGGATCCGACAAGCTTGCAGGGCTTCTTTTGCAATCAACCTCGAACGATGAAAGGCACTCCCCTTTAATACGCCATCCTCTCGGAAGGACCGGGGAACAACAGACTAAGTTCTAATAGGAAACAATGTACTGGGCCATACGATCAAAAGAGTCGTGCCCGTGCAAGCCGAGGTCACGGCAATGAAATAACATGTATTTACGCCAAGCAATCAAAGAATATCTTTCGCCAAAAGCATCTCGTACTCCAAAAGAAAATTCAGCATGCTCACGGCAAGGATCCCTCCATCGAGTATGTCCCGAAATACTCGGAGACTTAGCGTCAACAATTTGGCACCCACACGACCTCAGGGTCGAAACTTCATGCTTATAAGGCCCCAACGAGGAAATTCCGAGCTCACGAGTAATGACCTTCGAGCCTAAGCAAACTCGATGACTCGGAGACTATTGTCAATTGCCATTCACTGAAAAACCCGAGGCCATATGACCCCGAGCGGGCAAACTCGGTCTAGCCAAATCTATTTTACATAACAACAAAAAACTGTAAGACCTCAACATTCATGAAAAATCTGTAAGACCTCAACATTCATGAAAAATCTGTAAGACCTCAACAGGCATGAAAAAACTGTAAGACCTCAACAGGTATGAAAAAACTGTAAGACCTGAACAGGCATGAAAAAACTGTAAGACCTCAACAGGCATGAAAATTTTGTAAGACCTTACTACAGGCATAAAACTCAATCCCGAAGTTTAGGCTATATTTTGCATTTGTAAGACTCCCGAAAGGCATATCCTCGATGTAGACACCTAAACTACCGCACTTAGGATCAAAAACGGCTTTGGCCGAACATATATGACTACGGTCAAAACGGCTGCACCAGCCAAATTAACGTGACTCGGGGACGCCCGACCGTCGCTAACAAAATCACATGCCATTACTTCGAATCTACTTCGAAAAGAACCAGTTAAAATAGGCTACCCTTAACAGGCAAACAAGTTTCGTCCATGTCAGCTCTAAATCACAAGGCTTCGAGCTACTCAGCCTACGAGCTAAACCTTCTGAGGTGCTCGAACATCGCCGCTAACGAATTGAAATCGAGATTCTTCCCGAACTGACGACGTGTCAGGCAAAATCATTTCAAAAAGTCCTTAACGAGAGGAAAATAAAGCCTACATATGCCCAC